GTTGCTTCCTGACCTGCATATAGGTTTCTCAAGAGGCAGGTCAGATGGTCTGGTATTCCCATCTCCTTCAGAATTTTCCACAGTTGATAATTTAGAGGGACCCAAACCACTGCAGATTACCAGGAAAAATTTGGCACCTTTAAAGCCTTCTAGAGTCATTTTACAGGATTATCCAAGTTACATATCCTAGGGTTCATAATAATAAAAATTCCTTGGGAGTTGGGTGGTAAAGTGGGTAGTGAAAGATTATGAAATCAAAATGAATGAAAATCATGCTTTACTTCTTTTCTCGTAAATGTTACCCTACACTTCCCTTTTGGGACACCTTATCAAATCTGTGTAATTCAGGTCTAAGTGTATATACACTTCTAATATAAGTTCTTTTTTCAACATTCTAACAGTATTTGGTTCAACCAATTTGTTTTTTGTGTGGATTCTGTCTGCAATGAGAACTTTTTAGACTTTTCAGTAATAGGAAATTTCTTGCTAGATATTTCTTTAGAACTATTGCCTACTGGTCCTGAAAACAGGGACTGCATATTATTTGCCCATGAACTGTAACAATAAGTAAATGATGCTGCAACCACACCGGGTACTAATGAGGAGTCAACTGCTTCCCTTTTTTTTTTCACTTATTTTTATTAGTTGGAGGCTAATTACTTTACAATATTGAAGTGGGTTTTGTCATACATTGAAATGAATTAGCCATGAGGTTACATGTATTCTCCATCCTGATCCCCCCTCCCACCTCCCTCTCCACCCGATTCCTCTGGGTCTTCCCATTGCACCAGGCCCGAGCACTTGTCTCATGCACCCAACCTGGGCTGGTGATCTGTTTCACTATAGATAATATACATGTTTCGATGCTGTTCTTTCGAAACATCCCACCCTCGCCTTCTCCCACAGAGTCCAAAAGTCTGTTCTGTACATCTGTGTCTATTGTTCTGTTTTGCATATAGGGTTATCATTACCATCTTTCTAAATTCCATATATATGTGTTAGTATNAAGTTTGTACCAAAAATGGTACAAATGAACTTATTTACAAAACATAAACAGACTCTTAGACTTCGAAAACAAACTTCAGGGTGCCAAAGAAGAATGGATAAATTGGAAGTTTGGGATTGATATATATACACTACTATATATAAAATAGATAATCAGTAAGGACCTCCTGTGTAGCCTAGGGAACTCTACTCAACATTCTGTAACAATCTATATGGGAAAGAATATGAAAAAGAGTGGATACATGTGTATACACAATGGAATCACTTTTCTGTACACCTGAAAACTAGTACAACACTGTAAATCAACTATGCTCCAATACAAAACAAAGATTAAAGGAAAAAATAAAAAGCAAAAAAAGCAAATTGATTTCATTAAAAGCAATTTATCATTCAGAAACTATGAAAATAAAATAAAATTTTAGTCCCATTTAAAATTCACTGCCCAAAACTTCAAATTATCGTTTAGTTGCTTTATGTTACCTCTGGATAATAAACACATTTAAATCTTTCTTTGACATTAAACATTATAGTAATAATAACAATATCTTTTATCAAGTCTGCAACTACTGGGCTTCTAAGTGCTTTGCATGTTTTAACTCATTTAATCTTCAAGAAATTCTGTGAGCTGAGTTCCATTATAGTGAGAAAACTGAGGCACAAAAAGGTTAAGAAAGTTACATCAGGTTATTCAGCAGTGGTAAAAAAGAAGGACTTAAACCAGAGAAATTGCTTCTGATTAAAAAGTTAAATAAAATGTCATGCTTTGTTATCTGAAAGATATTTACAAATGAACCAAGGAAAAGGGAATGAAACTTGCCTAGTCATTTAGTCGTTATGTGCATGCTAAGTTGTTTCAGTCATGTCTGACTCTTTGCAACCCTATGGACATTGCCTGCCAGGCTCCTCTGTCCATGGGATTCTCCAGGCAAGAGTACTGGAGTGAGTTGCCATGCCCTCCCCTCCAGGGAATCTTCCCAGCCCAGGGATCCAACCGAGTCTCTTATGACTCCTGTACTAACAGGTGGGTCTTTTCCACTAGCACCACCTGGGAAGCCCACTTAGTCTTACAGCCACTGTCAAATTATTTGATTTGTTGGAATGCCCTCAAAAAAAAAAAAAAGCAGATTTAAAAATGGCTCCATGTAAAATGAATACATTTTAAAGATCTGCTCTACAATACTGTGATTGTAGTGAGCAATATTGCACCATACACTTAAAATTTGTTAAGACGGTAGATCACATGCTATTTTTGACCACAGTAAATAGTTCTAATTTAAAATAAAATAAAAGGCACTCCACAGCATCTAGGTTAAGCTCTGAGTCCAAATTAAAATTGTTTTGGGAGGCCAGGGACACCCAATCATAAGGCTTCTTCCACCGCTAGAGTGAAAACTTCTCAGCTTTCACTGTGGCATTGTCCTACACGCTCTTAATGTTCCCATTATCCTGGTCCACCATATAAGCTCTACTTGGGATCTAGACTTCAGAAATGAAGCCATTTCTTGCCACTGTTTAAATTCAAGAGTTGACTGTTTCGTAGCCTTCCTTTCACTTCCTTGAAATGTGAAGGCTCCCAAAAATCTAAATTGCACTCAAGGAAAAGACATACCCTTTTTCAAGAAGAAACTTGACTGCATCGATATTTCCAGTGGCACATGCAGTCATTAGCGGTGTCTTGTAGTAATTATCCTTCATATCCACAGGTATTCCTGATTCAAAAGCCTTTTTCAGAGAAGCCAGGTCTCCTGCCTTGGTGATAAAATTAATGTTTGAAAAGACCTTCCCTGGATCATCAATATACCAAGCAGAGTCATCCTGAATGGGATGTTCTGGGGGGTGATCTCTGTTAAAGCGGTTGCAATCAGTCACATTCTTGTAGGTTTCGATCATATAATAGGGCGGCCCACCGTCGCTGCGGCGTGGAAACACGTGGTCGGGGATGACACAGATGGGGAGGGGTAAAACAAACTTGCCCATTCTGGCTTTTTTGGCCATCCCTTTTTTCTTTTTCTTAGGCCCATAGGATCCCAAAACATAAGACTTACTTAAATATCTGGTCCCTTTAAAGAACTCATTAATATTGACCCCTCCACCCCGGACTTTTTCGTGAAGTTGCGCTATAGCAGCCAGCTGCTCTGAGTTCACAAAATCTTGCCTCTCCTCCAGGGTCAGCACAAAGTCCTCCTTGGTGACTGTCCCATCGCCCCTGTCCACAAACGAGAAGGCTTCCCGAAGGAAAGTCTCATGTTCTACTGACCAATCGTGAAGTCTCAGGAACAAGGGCGGATTCGGATTTTTGACCCCTGGCCTGGCCAGTTTATTAGCGATTTGCTCTGCCCGCCGTATTTCTTTGCTGGCTGCTTTGAAGCCGCCTTCCTTAGCCAAGTTCCTCGGTGTTTTATGCTCCAGATTCTTCCATTTTAGGTCACATCCTAAAACAGGAAACATTATGATTATGAATGGTGCTGGGGCATCTGCCTGGGTTCACAAATGACATATATCTGTTGTTGTTGTTGGTTTTTAAATTTCCAGCGAATAATCAAAAGTTGGTTCCCAAATTATTTGTATATAGAGGTGAGCACAGTTAGTTATTATAATTACAGAATTAATCTATGATTACCCTGCTCAAGGTTATGCAGCAACCTGGTTGGAGGGGGGTTTGGGGGAGAATGGATGATACATTTATATGTATGGTTGAGTCCCCTTGCAGTCCATCTGAAACTATAATAACATTGTTCATAGGCTATACTCTAATATAAAAGTGATTCCCTGTGGCTCAGTGGTAAGGAATCTGCCTGCCAGTGCAGAAGATGTAAGGGACTTGGGTTGGGTCAGGAAGATCTCCTGGAGAAGGAAATGGCAACCCATTCCAGTATTTTTGCCTGGAAAATGCCATGGATTGGAGGAGTCTGGTGGGCTGTAGTCTGTGGGGTCACAAGAGTTGGACACAACTGAGCATACACACACTCAACTCATATATAAATTAAAACTTTTAAAACATTTAATAAATAAAAATTATTATTAACTTATATGCAGGGTACATCCTGCAAAATGCCAAGATAGATGAAGCACAATCTGGAATTAAGATTGCAGGGAGAAATATCAATAACCTCAGATATGCAGATGATACTACCCTTCTGGCAGAAAGCAAAGAGGATCTAAAGAGCCTCTTGATNGATGGCATCACTGACTTAAGGAATATGAGTTTGAGCAAGCTCTGGGAGATGGTGAAGGACAGGGAAGCCTGGAGTGCTGCAGTCCGTGGGTCACATAGAGTCACACACAACTGAGTGACTGACTGAGCAACATTGTGAACACAAAAACTTAAGCTATATTTTTTTTCTTTCTGTGAGCTTCAGTTTGGTGAATTTTGAGGAAGACGTTCTTTCCAGTATCTATCCCCAAAGGATTAAGAAATCAATCCCTGTAGATATTTGAAACAAATATCATATTAGAATACCCGCTAAAGAGGTTTCATGCCAAGTGGGAAAGAGTAAAGAAGACATTTAAATTTGGAAAGAAGCTGGATTCAAACAGCTTAAGCAGGACTTTAGGCACCTAAGATGCTAACTGACTTGCTTCTTTTGAACAATTATGACTGTTAATTTGTGTAAAATCTTAAACTGTTTTATCTGTATTTTTCATGAAATTCATGTAATTTATATTGACCTGCTGTTTTGCAGTAAGGTCCTTTGAACAGCCTGAAAAAGTAATCTCATCAAATCTGAAAAAATTCCAGTGTAAGAGTTGTGCAATTAGGCATTAAAATTCATTTTCCTTTTTTAGTCTCTGACTTAAAATGATGAGACCAACATCACATGTAAGCATTCTCCAAATAAATAAGCTTTTCTGAATGCATCAGGGAGTCTACTTAGTGGTATCAAGAGGCTGTGTTGTCTGTAATAAGTGTCTTAAGACACTAAAAACCCATTATAAGTCAGACTATGAAGATATTCGTTCTAGCGTTTTCAATCTATGAGGCTCTTTTGTTGTCTTGTCAATATCACATAATCAAAAAAGATTCTCTAGCAATCAGTATCTCTAGCATCCAAAATGTAAAGGCAGCTGCATGTGAAAATATAACATCCCCCTCCAACACTTCATAATTTTATTCCTTTTCAAAAAGAAAATCATTAATCACTGGATGATTAATGATTTCAGCATTAATACTTCTGGCATTGTCAAAATTAAAGTTTTATATGAAGGCTGGTATATTTATTAGTGATAGGAAAACTCAAAAAGGGTACTTCAGACAAAAATATTCTATAATTTTTAGATTGAACAGTTTGAAGAACAGTGTGACTTATTGGGAAAAGGACCTGAGCCTTGTCTCCACAGTATAATAATTCGATAGTGTAATTCCATAGTCATCTTGAGTCTGCTACTTTTACTTAGCTTTTTCACTCACTCGGGATGTCTGGGGGTTTATCTGCCATCTCCTAGTTCACTCCTGTATTCACCAGCATCTTTGGATCAAAGATGCACCAGCACCAAAGATCAAAGGGTTTTAAAGCTGCTTTATCTTGCCTTCTTATGCTCCTAGCTTCCTCCCAGTTAGCAATTTTCTGTGGAATAAAGACCCCCACATCCAAGCTTAAAGATATGAAGGCATTTTCCTGTCCTTCTGACTTTTGTCTTCTCTTTTATTGTTAGTAAATACAGATCCATTCATGCTCTCTGTGATTTATGTTCCTCTGTCGCTGAGATACTTGACTTTCAGCTGACTGCTGTCAAAAGCTCCGTGAGGAGATCCCTCCACGGAGGCTTCAGGACAGCTAATCTAAACTCTCCTCCACTCTCCTGAACATGGCCTCACATTGCCTACAGGGAGGTGTAAATTACTCCAGGGACAAGATCAGGAACAAAAGTGGAGCATACTGAGGAACTAGTTTCTTGGGGGAAAAGAATCCAGCCTTCATATTTAAGGATAGAAGAGACTACACCCAGGGAGTTTACTCAGAAATGAGCATTTCATGGCTAATGGTTTCCAATTGCTCTGACGGCCTTAGATCCAAGATTCTAAAGGTGGAAGTATAACTGATAACACTCTCATGTGGAACGAGGTCACCCACATAGCACCTAGTGAAGCAGTTGTACTTCCAAAGATGCTAGGGAACTCAAAACATTTTCAGACATTTGTTTCAGAAACAGTCTAGTCTTATGAGTCTTCCAGGAGGGTCAATCTTTTCTGCATCACCAGCAAGGCCTTTGGCAAGCTCTGGCCCTGTACGTCTCAATTTGCTTTCTCTGATTTTATCCCAGAGGACATAAATGGTAGAGTATATATTGAGGGATGTTTCTCCCAATAAGAATAGAGTCAGCATGTTAAAGTTGAAGAAGTTTGTCTCAATCTGGGCAGATCTCTAATTTTTAGAAATACACAATGTGAAAAATGAAGTGTCAGAATAATCTGCTTGTGGTGAGAGATTTGGAAACAAGATTTGAAAACTGTCTCTTCAGAGACAGTTGATGAGGGCAAAAATTGCATTTGGTACATTTTCCATTATCTCTTTATTTTAGGGGGATGGGGAAAGAATGTGAGCTTTGTATAAGGTAAAAAAAAAAAAATCAAAGTGAGTCAGTTACTACACCATTAGTTATGCAGGCATGTTAGTCTCATTATAATGTTAGTGGTTACAGTATAGGCTCTCTCGGGTCCCAGTGACTTCAAAATTTCTGTGCCTGCATAGAAGACAGGAAAATGAAAGCACTTTTTCTGCTCTATGATAGAGCTGCTGAACTTTAAGTTTCTGTCTATTTCTCATAAACTGGAAAAAAATAACTCACTACCATAACATTCAGCAGCATGCAGTTCCCTCTCTAACAAAGAGTTAATGACATTGAATGTATGTTTAATTCAGTTCAGTTCAGTTCAGTCGCTCAGTCATGTCCGACTCTTTGTGATTCCATGGACTGCAGCATGCCAGTCCTCCCTGTCCATCACCAACTCCCGGAGTTTACTGAAACTCATGTCCATCACATGGGTGATGCCATCCAACCATCTCATCCTCTGTCAACACCCTTCTCCTCCCGCCTTCAATCTTTTCCAGCATCAGTGTCTTTTCAAATGAGTCAGTTCTTTGCATCAGGTGGACAAGTAGTGGAGTTTCAGCTTCAACATCAGTCCTTCCAATGAATATTCAGGACCAATTTCCTTAAGGCATGTAATTAACACAAAATTAGTAAAAATATTTAAACTTAATTGGCTAATATTGCTATTTAAAATTTTTTAAAATATTAACTATTTTAAGGAATTGTTGCTGTTGAGTTGCTAAGTCATGTCTGACTCTTTTGTTACCCCATGGACTGTAGCCCGCCACCAAGGTATTTTCCCAGCAAGAATGCTGGAGTGGATTGCCATTTCCTTCTCCAGGGGATCTGCCCAATGCAGGTATTGAACCTGTGTCTCCTGCTTGACGGGTGGGTTCCTTACCTCTGAGCCGAATGAGAAGCCCATTTTAGGGATACATTCAGCTATGCNCACCCCGCCCCCCACAAGTCTGTGGAAAAATTGTCTTCCGTGAACCAATCTCTGGTGCCAAAAAGGTTGGGGACCATCTATCTAGGGTATAGAAAACTCTAAACTCAGCTGGGGCACTACCATTTTGGTAAATTTAGGCAACTTTAGAATGCATCAGACTGTGGCAAATCAGGGCAGCAAATTCTATGCCAGACAGATGTGATTTTTACTGTGATGTATACTTTTATTGCAGGTAAGAGATCCAGTGACTAAAGTAAAAATAATGTTAGAACTAAGAAAAGAAATTTTAGATATAATTCAGAATTTTAAAAAATAGGATAGCATTAAAAAAATAGGATAGCATTGAGTTCTAGTTTGTTTCCGCAGTATCACTATATGTATGAGATATCTTTAGTTGATATATCCAGATAATCAGAATACTTGAGAGTTAAAAACTTAGGTGAGTCACTAGATGTACTTAAACATCAAGGAGATGAGATTAGGCCTTGGCCTCCCCCAAATTAGATCATACTGTACTGTGAAAATTCTCATATGCAATGGAGTCATAAAATAGAGTAGTAGTATGTGGCAAAACTTTTCAGTTGTCATAACTGAAAGAAAAAAGTGAAAGTGTTAGTTGCTCATTTGTGTCTGAGTCTTTGCAACCCCGTGGGCTGGAGCCCACCAGGCTCCTCTGTCCATGGAATTCTCCAGGCAAGAGTACTGGAATAGGTTGCCATTTCCTTCTACAGGGGGTTTTCCCGACCCAGGTCTTGAACTCAGGTCTCCCACATTGCAGGCAGGTTCTTTAGGGTCTAAGCCCCTAGGCAAGCCCAGCTAAGAACATAGAAAAAACATTATTAATAATATTAGAAGAGTAAATTAGCAAGCAGATAAAAGTGAATAAAGAGCTAAAATAAGCCTTGAAGGATAATATCTGGTATAAAATACAATTCTGGAATTATTTTGTAAAATCAAAATGCAAAAAAAAAAAAATCTGTCAGTGTAACTTATATGATATTTTAAGATGCTGAGGAAAAGGAGAATATTTTTAGCAACAAATTTTAAAGAATATAGTAGATTATTACATCAAAAAAGCCTCCTTTGGCAGCAAAGTGTGCGGCATGATGTCTGTCATTGTCAAATGCATTCACGTCCGCTCCTCTTTCCAATATCCCTCGAACTAGCTCTGTCACTCCCTCTCTTGATGCTTCCATTAAAGCCGTGCGACCTGTGGACTGGACATGATGGGGTTCCGTACCTGAGTTGGGGAGATCCCCTGAAAGAGGAAATGGCAATCTATTCCAGTATCACATGGACAGAGGAGCCTGGCAGGCTACAGTCCACAGCGTCCCAGAGTCAGACCCGACTGAGCAACTGAGCACACACAACATGCATAACATAGTTTATATTCTCAAACTAAGCTATTTAAAATATACAGAAAAATCTAAAGTAATAAATATTACTTATATTTCAAATGTTCCACTAAAGTTTTCATTTTATTTAATGCTTCTTCCCCAAAATATTTCCCCCATAATTTAAAATTTTCCAAAATGTTATCTTTGCACTTGACATGATAGTATATTTTCAAAAATAAAATAATTAAGAATTTGGACATGGTTTCTAGTGTTTGTCCTTTTTAAATTGATGCTGCTACTGCTGCTGCTAAGTCGCTTTAGTCGTGTTTGACTCTGTGTGACCCTATAGACGGCAGCCCACCAGGCTCCTCTGTCCCTGAGATTCTCCAGGCAAGAATACTGGAGTGAGCTGCCATTTCCTTCTCCGTTTTAGACTGGTATTTATACTTGAAAAAATAAGCATCTTAGTAATTGGTTGACTCATAAATAATTCTGTTTAGATCTTTAATAATAATCTAAAGATACTTGAGAAATGAATTTTTATTACTTTCTAGGTCAGATTTATGATTTAACAGAAGGTAAATAAGAAAAAAATTTAATTTTCTTTCTACAGAGATAAGCAACTGATGTTGACATGCTGAAATTCTCTGCTCATCTGCAATGTGGGGAAATCATAAGTTCTTTAGACATAAAATTGGTAGACCATTTACCTCGCTGAGCTATATATTTACAGCAATCTGCAAAACCACCCATGGCAGCATAATGAAGTGGTGTGTTGCCATTCATTGCAACCAGCCCCATGTCTCCGTTGTACGCAAAAAGCAGCTTCAGTATCTGCAAAATAAATAGTGGATATTGTAGAGGAATAAGAATGTATGTTTACTGGTTGAAAACTCAGATCTAGACCTGTGCTATCCAGAGTGTCAGTTTGAATTAAGTTGAAATGAATTAAATAGAAAACAAATTTTAAATATTCAGTTCCTTACTTTGACTAGCCATAGTTTAAGGACTCAAAAACCACATGTGTACTGTAATTGTACCATATTGTACAGCCACATACAGAACACTGTCAGAAGTTCTAGAGCAGGGATCCTCAACCTCCAGGATCTAATGCCTGATGATCTGAGGTGGTGATGTAACAATAATAGAAANTCAGTTGTCATAACTGAAAGAAAAAAGTGAAAGTGTTAGTTGCTCATTTGTGTCTGAGTCTTTGCAACCCCATGGGCTGGAGCCCACCAGGCTCCTCTGTCCATGGAATTCTCCAGGCAAGAGTACTGGAATAGGTTGCCATTTCCTTCTACAGGGGGTTTTCCCGACCCAGGTCTTGAACTCAGGTCTCCCACATTGCAGGCAGGTTCTTTAGGGTCTAAGCCCCTAGGCAAGCCCAGCTAAGAACATAGAAAAAACATTATTAGTAATATTAGAAGAGTAAATTAGCAAGCAGATAAAAGTGAATAAAGAGCTAAAATAAGCCTTGAAGGATAATATCTGGTATAAAATACAATTCTGGAATTATTTTGTAAAATCAAAATGCAAAAAAAAAAAAATCTGTCAGTGTAACTTATATGATATTTTAAGATGCTGAGGAAAAGGAGAATATTTTTAGCAACAAATTTTAAAGAATATAGTAGATTATTACATCAAAAAAGCCTCCTTTGGCAGCAAAGTGTGCGGCATGATGTCTGTCATTGTCAAATGCATTCACGTCCGCTCCTCTTTCCAATATCCCTCGAACTAGCTCTGTCACTCCCTCTCTTGATGCTTCCATTAAAGCCGTGCGACCTGTGGACTGGACATGAAACAGACCAGACGCTGTTTATCCCTGTTATACTAAATGCCACGTTCAGTATTAATATGGTCTAAATCCATTTGGCCTTAGAGTCACACTGACGTGTTCAATTTCATACAGTCATATTGGTTTCATGTAACAAACGGGAAACATGAAGTCAGGAAAATGGGTCAGTGTCCAAAATGTAGAATTCTATAATCAGAGTCAAGGTCACACCAGATTTTCCTATGAGAACATCATGCTAAAAAGTGCAGTTTCTTGCCAAGAAAGTAGTGCAAAAAGGGAGAAGAGAGAGTAAAACGTATGCTAAAATTAGGCTATAGGTGTTTTCTAATGAGACAAAAATCCATTTTTATTGTCGGGAAATGACAATTAAAAGAAAACTCAGTAAAATTAGCCAAGTGAGGAGAGGAGGCAAAATAAGGGAAACAGCAAAGCTACATATTTACTGTAGAAGGTAAATTTTTATTAGGCATCAGGAATATCTTTTCTAGTTCCTGTAATGATCTTTTAATATTGTACATAATAAATACCAATCTTTCAAACATAATTAGGAAACAGGCCATAGAATCATGGCCATGCCATATAAAGATAATGAAAGTCTATAATTTTAAAGCATTTTGAACAGAAATGAAAAGTCTGTAAGCTGACAGGATAATTTTACCACATTCAAGTGAAAAAATACAGTAACAGGATTCTGTAATTGAAAAAAAGGAATATATAATCACAGAAATAGTCTTACTGTGTTGATAGCATTTGGATTGGCTCCTTTTTCCAAAAACGTCAGGCACACATCCTTCACATCATGTGCTTCTTCACAAGCTCTAAGGAATATCGGCTTTCCCTCACAGGTACAGTTGTTGACGTCCGCACCGTGTTCCAAGGCAATCAGCGCGCACCGATAATGCCGCTTAGTAGGTAAAATGCAGTAAAACAAAATACCTGTAGAAAAATAGAATCCCCAAAGAACACGTAACTAGCAGTCTCTCTACATTTGAGTCAGATAGGAAGGAACAAAGAATAATTTAAAAATTCATAATTAGCTAATTGAAGGTGATAGAGCAAAGGCATTTATGCCTTGGTTTTCTCTCAGAAATCAACTGAAACACCAAGACAGAGAAACCAAAAAGGAAACCCAACCTCTGATAAGAGCTAGGAAACAGTCATAAGCAAAATGTGACAGGATCTTGTCTGAGAAGAATCTGAGTGCTGGAATGTGAGCCCTTGTTGACCCTGGGTGTTTGGCATCCTGCAATCTATACACCAGAGTCCTTCTTAGAATGTGCAGGAGTGTGTGTGCCCAAGGGTTACTGGTGATCCCTGGACCCCCTTCGAAATTGCAGAGTGGCAAGGGAGATAGTATTGAATGATAAAATATTTACCAGCCATGTTTGCAGGAAGCAGGCTGTCTGAACAGTTGCAGTGAGAAGAAAAAGTAGATGTCAATTTGTTCACTGCAGAGAGAAAAATGCTAACTCCTCATATCTGGTATCTGTGACATACAGACCCTCAACATAATCCATGTCAAAAATGTACTACAGACCAGGGGTACTGTTTATAAACCCCAGTCAGAGTTTTCTTAAGAAACTCAAGTAAACAGCAGACAAACTCCAAACTGACTTTGTAATGACTTCACTCTAAAAACAGACTTCATTCAAATAGGAACAGTAACCAACAAAAAACTAGCATACGACCTATGAAAAAAGATACTGAAAGAAAAGGAAAGGAAGCTGACAAACACTAGGCAAAAATTATATACTCAAATAACTATACCACATGAAAATTACTGACCGACCCATTACTGATAACAGTAATTTGCATATAACTTTTTCTGAAACAAAAATGTAAAGGTAGACCAAACCAAAAAGATAAATAGAAGGAAAAGATGAATTTGAGCAAGTATATCTTAGAAAAGAAATGGGAGAGAAAAATAAAACTAGTAAGAAATGAAAGTCACATGGGAGCAGGAAAAAAGAGAGCAGACACTAACAAAACCATAGGCAGGGACATGGAGGAAAAAGTTGAAAGAACTTGAAAAAAATCCAAGAGTTTAAATGGTCTAGAAAGGCAAATAATATTTAACATGTGTGTAGTTGGTGTTCAATAAAAGACCAAATGGAACAGAAAAATGGAGAGATATAATAAAAGAAAACCCTCTTGGAGTAAAAACCTAGATCTAACAGGATATACTGGATCTCAGGAAAAGCTGATTAGGAACAATCCATAATATGTGCCTAGACAAAACTAGATAAAGAAAGTGTCCTGTGAGCAGCCAGTTAAAAATTCAAGCCATCTCTAAAGAGGAAATGTTTGGCTGCAAGACTTTGCACAGCAACATTCAGTGCTAGAAAATAAGCAAAGGAGTTTTACAATATCACTTGGAAAAGAAAACAGGGGATTTTTAACACTCAGTCAAGCAATTGTTCATATATAAAAGCAATGAACATATAAGTTTAAAGATGCAAGAAATCAAAGTATATAAGCCCAAAGGAGTGCGCTAAACTACTCAATGACAAAAATGAGTCTAACAGGAGATTAACAGGGAATATGTGACCCATGATAGACGCTGAATCCCTTCAATCATTGAATCAAAGCCCAACCACTTTGGGGATTCTAGATACAGAAAAGAAAATTGTAGTTCACAACAATGTGGAAATAATAAGGAAATTTAACAAGACTGGTAGGGAAGAGAGGAAAGGAGAGTTTAAGCATTCAATTTTCTTTATCTTTTATTGCTGGAGTTTTGAGATATTATTAAAAGCAGATAAAAAGGTATGAAAAGAATTATTGAAAGAACTAAAATGATTATAATTTACTAAAATTAGATACTGGAAGGGAGGTGACAGGAAGAATTTTTGTACCAATCTCATCTTTCATAGAAAAATATCAATGAATACTGTTTAGTGTGCTGATTTGATAAACAGAGGTTTATGTATATGTAAAGCTGTCAAGTTAGCCATTAAAAGAACTAAAAACAGACTATTAATTTTAGAAAATATGAGAAGGAAGATATATACACATATAATAAAACAAAGATCATATGGACCATAGAGAAAATTATTTTTATATGTATTTATCTAAAATATATTATGCTTTGATAGAATAAAATAAATGACAGTTTTGNATGTAAAGCTGTCAAGTTAGCCATTAAAAGAACTAAAAACAGACTATTAATTTTAGAAAATATGAGAAGGAAGATATATACACATATAATAAAACAAAGATCATACGGACCATAGAGAAAATTATTTTTATATGTATTTATCTGTGTATTTATATAAATTAAATATATTATGCTTTGATAGAATAAAATAAATGACAGTTTTGTGGAGAATGCAGGTAAATATAAATTGGATAATCTCAACCATTAAAATAAAAATACAATTTATGTGAAAATCAAAACTGAACTATATTTCATATAAACATGCATCTGAAATAGTTACTCAAACAGTTAAAAACAGAAAGATGGTCAGGGACATGTTGAAAATGCAAAACCAAAAACAGAGAAGTCATAGCAGGCAAGAGTGAACCAAAACAACAGCAATGCAGCAATTCCAGGTTTTGTCATTTTTGTTGTTTTGGTTAACTCTTGCCTGCTATGACTTCTCTGTCTTTGATTTTGCATTTTCAACATGTCCCTGACCATCTTTCTAGTTTTAATTGTTTGAGTAACTCTCATTTTTAAATTTTTATTTCATGTATTTTTATTTTAATGGTAGAATTTATCCAATTTACATTTATCTAGATGCTCCATAGAACTGTCATTCCTTTTATACTATGAAAGTATCACTTGCACCATTCCCCCACCTCCCCAGTCCACAGAAAAATTGTCTCCCACGAAACCAGTCCCTGGTGCCAAAAATATTGGGGCCACTGCTGTATAGAGCTTTGAAAGGCTTGTTTTTTTTTTTAAGAATAAAAACATTAAAAAAATACATTTGACTCATGAATACATTAAATAATTAAATAGTTGTTCCTTTTCTTTGTCCTCTTCTCTTGTTATGAGCAAATCACTTATCAAATACCATGTCCACAGAGAGTTACAAAAGCAGATTCTGTTCCTGTCAGAAAACATTAATTAATGGTATAAAATGGGATTCATTTCTCTAATGTGGGACTGATGTTAATGGCTTTGTACTTAAAGAAATTCTTTGGAACAACTGATTAAATCTACCAGTTTATATTAAGCCTGGTGGTAATTTTCTTAGTGATTTTCATGAGGCTGCATCACCTCCTGCCAGAACCTTGAGTTATTTGGATAAGAAGCTCCCAGATCGTGGTCTTAAGATGGGATTTAGGAGGGGAAGAGTGAGACAGTGCTGTCTCACCTGAATAATCACAATAATCACAGACATGCCATATTTCTATGATTAAGTCATATTTCCAAATATATTTTTAAAACAACTAATAGAAAGTTGGAGCTTATGTCAGAATCCACCTTAGTTCCTCAAGTTCCCAAATGCAACTACTTTCTACACAGACTGCTCTTGAGAGCAAAACCCTAGTTCAAGTATTACTTGAGGTTCTAACATGTAAAATTCTAAATGGATTTTACATTTTACAATAAGTGATTATGATTATGGAAATATGTTTGTCATGTTGAAAGTTCTCCACATTAAAAAAAAAAAAGATCAATTCTAATATTTTTTCTCAATGAGAAAGTTCTCAGAACTGGTTTTCCTAAGAAATATCTACATTGTTTTCAAATTACGGGGAGATGTAAGAGTGAGAATCTGGCCTCTCACTACTACATGCCATGAGTAACTCCCTTCTAAAGTCTGAAAGCAAAAATGCATTATATTGATTTCTAAAGTTTGTAAGAAAAAATGCAAATCAAGTTGCATTTACTAGATAGAATGCTAAGAGTTTTTACCTTTTCCTTCGTTATCAACAATAGTCATATCGGCTTTTGCTTTGGCTAATATTTCCATGGACAATTCGTGGCCCAGTTCTGCAGCCCTCATAGTCGGAGTACAACCCATTTTGTCTTGCACATCAGGGTGAGCACCAAGGCTCAGGAGAAAGCTGACCATGTCGATGTCATTGGAAACTGAGGCTAAGTGCAGAGCACTGTTTCCATTGACCGGGTCTGTGAAATTGATGAGTTCAGGATATCCGAGCCTGGTCAGCTTCTCTATCTGCTTCTTGTCTTTGTTCCGAACACACTGAAGAACTTTGTAGATCTGCAGGTTCTCAAGTCTCTTATCTGCTAAAGCCATAGTTGACTGGCTTCTTCCAATGCCTTTGTGGGCCAAACCAAAACTACAGCAGCAAAAATCAAAGCAAAACATGCAACTCAATGTTATTTTCTTCATCTTTACTTTGACTAAATAGTATTTTAAGGTTTTCCTAAGAAGAGATGCTGCTTCTTATGAAACATTATTACCATAATTTATTGCAACTAATGTCATGAAAGCAAAAATTACACATAAGCACAAAAATACTCAGCTAGCATAATGTTAAAATATTTCAAAACAAATCTTCCATCATAAAGTAAACTGGTTATGCCATTTTCTTATCTCATTTAATCATCCCTCCTTGACACAGCCTTACCGTTTGCCCATGAGAAAGGTGAGGTCAACTAAACTGCCAAGCTTCCCACTACAATGTTCTGTACCAGCACACAATGTAGAGAACACACAGATTACAGCAGTTTGAAAATGCTGTAAAGACTGTGTAGAAATGTGAGCTGCTCATTATAAACAGGAATCTCTTGAGCTCTGTGAAATACCAAACATGTGATGGATGATTCCTATTTTATCTTATGTGGGGATAAGGCAGGTAAATGACTGAGACACAACCGTAAATTTTCAATAAATAATCCCACTAAGTTGTAATAAGCCTTCTAATACATAATTTTATCTCTTATGGCTTATTCAATTCCAAAAAACAATATTTTGAGTCTAGTAGTAGACCATGTGGTGGTTGTTCTGTCACTCAGTTGTGTCCAAATCTTTGTGACCCCATGGACTGCAGCACACCAGGCTTCCCAATCCTTCACCATCTCCTAGAGCTTGCTCAAACTCATGTCCATTGAGTCAGTAATGCCATCCAACCAACTCTGTCATCGCCTTCTCCACCTGCTTTCTATCTCTCCCAGCATCAGGATCTTTTCCAATGAGTTGACTCTTCACATCAGGTGGCTAAAGTATTGGAATTTCAGCTTCAGCATCAGTCCTTCCAATGAATATTCAGGACTGATTTCCTTTAGGATCGACTGGTTTTTTCTTGCAGTCCAAGGGACTCTCAAGAGTCTTCTCCAACACCACAGAGTTCATTAGCATAAATTCTTTGGCATTCAGCCTTCTTTGTGGTCCAACTCTCACATCCATACGTGACTAATGGAAAAACCATAGCTTTGACTAGATGGACTTTGTTTGCAAAGTAATGTCTCTGCTTTTTAATACACTGTCTAGGTTTGTCATAGCTTTTCTTCCAAGAAGCAAGCGTCTTAATTTCATGGCTGCAGTCACCATCTGCAGTGATTTTGGAGCTCAAGAAAATAAAATCGTCACTGTTTCCATTGTTTCCCATCTATTTGCCATGAAGTTACCATGATCTTAGTCTTTTTAATGTTGAGTTTTAAGCCAGGTTCTTCACTCACCTTGTTCACCTTCATTAGGAGACTCTTTAGTTCCTCTTCACTTTCTTCCATAAAGGTGGTGTCATCTGCATATCTGAGGTTATTGATATTTCTCCCTGCAATCTTGATTCCAGTTTGTGCTTCACCTAGCCCAGCATTTTGCACGATATACTCTGCATATAAGTTAAATAAGCAGGGTATGTACTCCTTTCCCCATTTTGAACCAGTCTGTCATTCCATGTCCCATTCTAACTGTTGCTTCTTGACCTGCAAACAGGTTTCGCAGGAGGGAGGTCAGGTGGTCTGGTATTTCCACCTCTTTCAGAATTTTCCACAGTTGTGATCCACACAAAGGCTTTAACATAGTCAATGAAGCAGAAGTAGATATTTTTCTGTAATTCTCTTGCTTTATCTATGATCCATTGGATGTTGGCAATTCTGTAATTCTCTTGCTTTATCTATGATCCATTGGATGTTGGCAATTTGATCTCTGGTTCCTCTGCCTTTTCTAAATCCAGCTTGTACATCTGAAATTTCTTGGTTCATGTGTGGTTGAAGCCTAGCTTGGAGGATTTTGACATGACCTTACTAAGCATGTGAAATGAGTGCAATTGTTAGGTATGAAATTAAAAGACTCTTGCTCCTTGGAAGAAAAGCTATGACCAACCTAGACAGCATATTATAAAGAAGAGACATTACTTTGCCACCAAAGGTCTATACACTCAAGGCTATGGTTTTTCCAGTAGTCATGTATGGATGTGAGAGCTGGACCATAAAGAAGGCTGAACACTGAAGAACTGATGCTTTCAAACTACAGTGTTGAAGAAGACTCTTGAGAATCCCTTGGACAGCAAGGAGATCAAACCAGTCAATCCTAAAGGAAATCAACTCTGAGTATTCACTGAGAGAGCTGATGCTGAAGCTGAAGCTCCAATACTCTGACCACCTGATATGAAGAGCTGACTCATTGGACAAGACCCTAAAGCTGGGAAAGATAGAAGGCAGAGGATGACAGATGGTTGGACGGCATCACCGACTCAATGGACATGAGTTTAAACAAACTGGGAGATGGTGAAGGACAGGGAAGCCTGGTGAGCTGCAGTCTGTGGGGCTGCAAAGAGTTGGACATGACTGAGCGACTTCTACTTCACTTTACTTCCTGCCCCTGGAACCACTTGTTGCCTCTGCCTACAGTGTTCTTTGCTCAGAATTTCTGTTGGCTAGCATTCTCACCACTCAAATTGCAGCCAAAATGTTACATCATCCTTTTGTTTTATTTCCTTCACAATATTAAGTAAAACATTTCTATATATAACATCTAGAGACCTGAAAATATAGACATATTCCATTTATGGAGTTTATATGGAGTTTATTCCATTTATAGAGACACAGTTGTGTCTCTCCCACTAGTAGCCAGTCTTCACGGCATAGAAGCTTTATATTTTGATTATCATTGTCTCTCAATCACCCAGAACCTGATTTCTATGAGGCAGTCAATAAATATTTCCTCAATAAATGATGACTGAAGGTTAAAAACCTGAGTGGAAGAAACAAAGAAAATGCCTAGGTTTCTGATTTGAGCAACCTGCGTCTGAGAGGGAGTACTCAGGATGGGATCCAGACTGGTTAGGAAGTATAGACAGCTAGGCTTTGAACATGCTGAGTTAGAATTCAGAAGGGGATGGGAAACCTTATTCAGGCAGAGATCTGAGCCTGGTGCATGGGAATGATGAGGTTTTTGTCAGTTGCAGTCAGCCCACGACTGGGTGAGGGCAAGGAGGAAGGTGTTCCAGTAAGTGACCACCACAGTCAGATTTGTGCTGGGCCCTTCCTTTCTTCCTTCTCCTCTGCCTGCTGTTTATACTCTGTGCTTCCTCTTTTGCTGTGGAAAGCATCAGCTATCATGTGGCATGTGGCTTTAATGTTCTGCTTGCTGTAGCCCCTCTGTTCCCTTCTCATCTGTTTACAGTGTGTGATGGACTAGGAATTGATGAGGCAATTTGTTAGAACCATGTGTATAAATAGGCTCCCAGAAAGTCCCAAGCTGCTTGAGAACTCATCCTCTTGGCCTTTGGGGCTTGGCTTGGTGACATTTATTTTTGCTGGCATTTATGGCTTGTTTCACTATTATTCGCCTTTTCTGGTTAGGTGCATGGATGTCTTACCTCATACATACATCACATACAGAATAGGATAAGATGCTCCTCTAAAGCTTACTGCTTACACTGAGTTGATGCAACCTCATTTGTGAGGATAGAGACATGCTTCAGTGTTGTCTCTGAGTGCAATGCCCCTACAAGTAACTTGCAGCATATGGCATTGTCCAATTAAGATACAAGGATGAATTGAGCAGCCCATAGGCCAGTTTTATGGCTTGCATCTCTCTGCTGAAGCTTGGAAAGGCTGAGGAGACAGCAAATGTCCTGTGTAGCGTTCTTTGTGACCAACTGATAAGACTGACCCCCTTGGGGGAAACAGAAGTCCTGCCCTCTAGTCCTGGGTTGCCCATAGACTGTATAGCATCTCTGATCCTCAGGAGGGTCACAACATACACACACATCTCAGTACGTATGGGTGGCCCTGGAGCATCTTGGCAAACCCCTATCTAAACATCCCTGTGGACAGTCTCAAAAGGTAGTGGAAAGAATGGAATTCCTCAAATTGAAGTTCATGTTTGGAGTCTGGATATTCTGAAATCATATGGAAATCTACAGGGTGTGTGTGTCCAGGTGCATTTTTCCCTTGTAGGGAGAGATCCACAGAGTTCATGAACTCAAAGGAGCCTATGAGGCAAGAGTGATTGGTTAGAAAGAGAGGTACAGTGAAAAGGGTGTACATTGGAAACCAGATCTGTTGCACCCCCCACCCCACCGTGTGTTTCCTCCTACTCTGCAACATTATCTATACAAAGGAGTTGAATAAACCTTGGCAAGTCACCTACCCAACTTGTGCCTTGCTCTCTTCACCTGTGAAATGGGGATAAGAACACTGCACGCTTCACCGACTGTGTGAAGCAGAAATGCGATCAGCTTTGTAAAGAATTTAGCCAAGTCTCTCCACACAGACTGACCATGAAAATATCAAACATGTGTGGGTTTCAGCTCATCCATAAGACAAGGTTTGCACTTCGGGTGTTCTTTACTGTCCCCTACAATTTTAAGTCTCAGAAAAATCTAGAAGGGAGGGAGGGTATGACTTCATTTCAAAAGTCCAGGTGACAGGGACGAAGGTGCCGAGCTCACCTTAGTTGCCCCNTCCATGAGATCTCCAAGCAAGAATACTGGAGTGGATTGCCATTCCCTTCTCCAGGGGATCTTCCCTACTCAGGTTTGGAACCTAGGTCTCCTGCGCTGCAAGGAGATTCTTTACTGTCTGAGCTGCAGGGAAGCCTAAAGCTCAAATAGCATTGATTAATTAAATTAGTTAATTAAACAGTAAAGTTAAATGAAAATACAGTAAATTATACAATAAAATGAAAAGGGAATCTACCTGTTAGAGGAGATAACTGCTGTAGATTCTTACAAATTTTCTTTCTCATGGATCCTAGAAATGTTCTTTTCATACTCTAAGAAATGTGTATATATATATACATATACTTAAAAAATGTATATACAAACAGGACAAAATATATCATGGAGATAATTTTATTTCAGGGCCTACAAAGTTGCCCTAATATCCCTACCCACCCCCCAATCCCCCAGCACATACACACTATTTTGGAGGCAAATTCTGAAAGTTTTAGTTGTTCATGTGAATATAAAGTATGTATGCTTTTTAAAATAGTATGTAATAGCTTCTGATTAAAAGCAATAGTTCCTTATCCCATCTATCTTCTAGTTTACACTTTATTTAAAAATATGATTAAGGACTATTCCATGAACACAGGAGAGCAATAAGTTAATATATAACACGTGGAAAGTATGAAGAATGAAACCATACCATGGCTAAAGAGAAAGCAGTCTGCCTCGATAGCCTGGATTTTTCTGCTATACTGCATCTGCCCTTTTCTGACCTCAGAGGTAACCACTATCATGAATTTTGTACTGATCATCCCCTGGCTTTTGAAAAATGTGTTGCTTTCTATGAAAACTTCCCTAAATAATATATATTCAGTATTGCATGTTTTCAGAATTTATAAAAATGGTATAGAATAGTGTATTATTGGTTTGATGGTTTTTTCAACATCTTATTTTTGAAATGTATATTTTTGTTATGTTTAATTGTAGCTCCTTTATCTTAACAGCTGTAAACTCTTCTATTGTATCACCATTCCATTCCCCATCTAAATCTGTTCTACCACTATTGGGTATTTAGGCTGTCTCCAGTATTTATTATTAAAAGCAATGATGTTATAATCATGTTTGTACGTGTCTTTAGAGCTCAAGTTCAAGAGTGTCTTTAAAGTATATACCGAAGAGTGAAATTTCTGGATCATAGGTCATTTATAATGTCAAGATAATGTCAACTTGTTTTCCAGGTGTGTATAACAATTTAGACTCCAGTTACAAGTATGTGTCTTAGCCAAAATTTGCTTTTGTTACACTTTTAACTTTTTGCCGGTCTATTTCATGATTTTATTTTGTATGCTCTGATTACTAATTGTTAGTCTAAAAGCTTTGATTGCATGTATCTATTTATTGGAAAGCTACACTATTCACCCTCGAGCAGGCACCACACAACTCAGATTATTTTAATAGAATCAGGGCACCATTTCTTTTATTACTGTTTCTCAACGTAGGGAAAGCCTCACATTTGGGTTTGGCTTGTTGATCTAGTGGGGTTTGGCAGTGAAGAGGAAGTTACTCACTTGGGTCTCAGTTTGTAAAACCAGAATATTATCAGCTACCCTTACAAGCCGTAAAGGAAGTAGGCTTAATATGAATGATCTCAGGAATTCCCTGGCAGTCCAGTGGTTAGGGCTCGTGTTTTCATTGCCAAGGGTGAAGGTTTGATCCCTGGCAGGGCATAAGCCACAAGCCACAAGATGTGGCCAAATATGAAAAACAAACAGACAAAACAAAAAACAATGAATGAGCTCATCTTGGCTCTGGTGGACAAATGTGACTGATTCTGGGGGAATGCTTCAGTAGGTGAACAATTCAAACTCTCTATTACAGGTCATCAGTGGATTTTTACCATGGTAGTCTTCCTCATTCTGGAGACAAAGTTGATGTTGATGTTCAGCTCTGGAGAAGGTTCCTAAAGTTATTTGAGGATTTGGTAGGTTTGGGAAGAGACACACCTAGAAGTCCAAGGGAACAGATTAGTCATGTGTAAACTATGCTTGGATTTATCATAACTCTTGGTGCAAATATTCTGAGTAGAAGTTGGGCAAATGTTTGTTAGTTGATCAAGACCTTGGAGATAAACAAAGCAGTCTGACTCACTCTTATAAGATGGTTTCAGGGAAATTTTCCCCTGAAAGGGTAATCTCTGGGTTCAATAAAAATTCTCTTTGATTTTATAAGCAGGTAGCTGAAAAGTAGCTTGGCAATAGATAATCATGTTTGATTGTAACCTTTTTGTAGCCTAGGGAGGTTAGTTTGGCTGAGCGGTATATTGATAAATACCAGCTTCCTCTAATGAGACAGCAGGCATACAAGGGTAAAATTTTAGAAATCCCATGTTAGTAAATAGACAACCTTTCCCCCTCTTTCACCAGAGATCTTAAAAACACAGAAAAGTTCTTAACTTGAACTTTATTTTTTTCCCCTTAGCCATTTGGCAGCAGAGTTGTCACAACTTGGGCAACACAAAGAAAAAAAAATGGGAGGAAAGGGCATTAATAGAATATAAACTAATAAAAACTTGACAGAAAAGTTTATGGAGTTTTTCTGTTGGGTAGGAAAAGCCTTTCCTCTACCCTTCTAGGTCCTTCTGAGTGGTCTGAGAATTAAATTGACGAGACAGATTAACAGGAGAAAATCCAACAGAAGTTTAGTAACATGTATACAGGAGGGAAAACCAAGAAAACTGAGCTCACTTGCCAATATGGCAGGAGCCCTCACCTTTAAGGCATTTAATGCCATCTTCAACCAAAGACAAAAGAGGTTGTTGGGGATAGGGGCTTGGGGCTTCAAAGTGGAGATGAAAGAGTAAATATTTGGTAAACAAAATGTTTGAAGAAACAAGATAAAGAACAGGCCCTTCATCAAATTATTCAGTCTGCGAGAAGAGTGAAAGTGTTAGTCACTCAGTCCTGTCCAACTCCTTGCGACCGCATGGACTGTAGCCCGCCAGGCTCCTCTGTCCATGGAATTCTCCAGGCAAGAATACTGGAGTGGTTTGCCATTCCTTTCTCTAGGGAATCTTCCCAACCCTGGTCTCCTGCATTGCAGGCACATTCTTTAGCATCTGAGCCAGAATGGGGAGGTCAAAAGAAAGATGCCCTGACTCTTGAGGCCTTGATTGTTTTTATCTCAAAATAACCTACCTGACAAAGACACTTGGGGTGGCAAATTTTCCTGCCCTATGCCTGAAGCCATGCCCCATAAAGTTAACAGAAGGTTATGATAAACTAACAGAAATTCTTGAGCTTGTCTTACAAAACAAGAGATATTCTCAGTAACAGCTTGTTAAAACCCCTTTGCTTATAAACTGCCTTCATTAATTAAGCTCGCTGTAGTTATTTTCCTTCTTTTTTTCTCTTTGATTGCATTCCTTCCCAGCTTCACACAGCCCAGTTGCTTTATAGAAACTTGAATCTGGCCCAGTCCCAGGCAGCAGGCTGGGATCATCAACCCTAAAACAGGCCCTGGGCAGGTGTCTGACGATGGCTCATTGACCTCAGATGATGGGAAATCACCCTCACATGCCAAGTGGCTCCATTTTAAATGTACAGAAACATGTAACCCAAATGCACAGGCTCAGAACATCAATTACCTCACCTTTCCCCCTTCTTCCGAAAATCATACCCTGTGCCCTACTTCCTCCATAAATATCCCCAATCCCTTGCCTTCAAGGAGTTGGATCTGAGACTAGTTCTCCTCTCTCCTCACGTGGCTGCTTTGTGAATAAGCTCAGTTATAAACCTCTGCATCTCAGCCTTTGGCTTGCTGAGGATTGAGCACACATATCTGGTTTGGCAGCACACCTACATTCCCAACACAAACTGGGAGACAGATGTGTGCATGGGCTAAGTTCTCTGTCCATAATCTAACTTACGCTTCACCCTTTATCTGATATTAAATAAAACTTTATCTTTAAATTACAACTATGTAATGTAGTATTTCTTACATAGTCCCAGGCTTTCTACAAAATGCTTGATAAATAAAAGTAATTCTACTGAATTATCTCACACATCTTTATTAAAGCAGACCATAGAGTAGTCATTCCATAGATGCAATTATATCAATTAAATTAAATGTGAAAAATATTGAAATATGAATTAGTATCTGTATGGCATGCCAGAGGGTGATAGAACATTTAATTGAAAGTAAAATTTACTGAATCATTGTGGATCTTTTCATAAGATGAAAACAAGGTAGAGTTTGTTGTTATTCTTATATTTTCACAAATATTTACAAATTTCATCTTTTATCACATCCATGTGTTAATAGTTTTCCCCTCTAAAATTACTAAACCTCTCAGGGTACCTCTGTGTTGTTGGGAAGGTTATTTACTGTTTTACACTGCACAGTTAAAATTTTTGTGTTATACAAGTAAATGATGGATCAATAAGGATTGATGGATTGATAAGAAAGGATTTCCCTTTCTTTCCAAAAGGGAAATGAAAACATGTCAAATAGCTTTGAAATGGAAAATAAATTAGTTGACAATGTAGAATTCTGCTTAATGCTTTTAGAACCAAGTCCCCCTAAACCTGAGCTCCTCTGCTGAGTTTATCATTAACCTCTGTCCAAAACTGCATTCACTTTCTTGCTGTGCCCCTGTTCCCCTTGGGATTGAGGAGAATCAAAGAAAAGAAGGGGCTGAAACTCAGCAGGGCCCTGCAGGGCTCACCTACAAGTGTCCCTTTTTGTCTCTCACTTCTTGTTTTTGAAAGCAATAACAACAAATACCTCTAAGCTTTATTTGAGTTCCAAAGAACAGTCTCAAGTAGTGAAGGAAGACACAAAAGAAAAGCAGTTAAGGAAGAAAAGTAGTGATAGCTTAAGCAATAGCTTAAATAGTAATTTGACTGCAAAACAGAGTTCTAGTTCCTCCTCAGGAGATAGACATACCATGCCTTATCTTTGAATTGTTCTGCAGAAACTAAGACCCCCTACCCTCCCACCAAGGTGGAGGA